AGTCCTTACTCTAACCTTGGGAATAAAGATAAATCTCTCTAGGGATTAAGTCTAGTCCCCAGTCTTTACAATATAGAGGTATCTCCTAGCTTGTGAACTAAATGATCTTTAGATATTCAAACAAGGGTCTCTTTGGAGATGTATAGGAGATTATTAGGATGTGCAGCCTTTTGTCTCTTGAGGAGATACTGTTCTTTCTTTTGCTTTGCTGTATAAATTCATGAGATTTTATCCTAATTTTGCAGTCATTTTCAGGCTATCTTATATTGCAGGAAAATGGAGTACAAGAGAATGGTCATGTTCCAGGTCTTGGGCGAGTTCTTGCGATTGGCCACCAGGTGAGGGTCCTTGACGTTGCTCAGGAAAGAATTTAGGAGTGAGCCATAGTAAAGTGAAAGTGGATTTATTTAGAGAGATACACATTCCATAGGCAGAATGCAGTCCTTCTCAGAAGGTGAGAGGGCCCAGGGCTGTGGGAGTGGTTAGTTTTTATGGGCCAGGTAATTTCATGAGCTAATGAGTGGGAAGATTATGCCAATTATTATTGCCTCATTTTCTTTATCAACAAAATAGGGATTAAAATAGTCATAAATTTATTGACTGAAATCTGTATCTCTAGTCTGGATTGCTTTCTCAGGGTCAGTTATATATTATGTACTATCTAATATGACTATCTGAAGGTTATCCCAGCACATCTTAAACTTAATATACATGTCCAAGGGACACATCTTTCTCCTCAAAACTACATTAACCATAGCATCATCTTTTTAGCCAATCTGCTTTATTTATTTATCTTTTAAAATTTATTTGACCGCACCATTCAGTTTGTGGAATCTTAGTTCCCCAACCAGGGATTGAACCTGGACCCTTGCAGTGAAAGCACAGAGTCCTAACTACTGGACTGCCAGGGAATTCCCTAATCTGAATTTAAAACTCTCTCCTTTGCCCTCTCACCCAGATGTTGGCTATGAAAGAAAGGATCTTCTCTACTATATCCATAGCCATTGTGTGCCAAGTTCCATCACTTCTGGCTCCTTAACACTGATGGAAGGGTGAGGGGGATTGTCTCTTTCCTTCCCCCTCTGTTCTATATTTACTGCCCTAGTTTAGTTCCCCCTCATCTCCCATAGATCTTTCCTATCACTTATAAACTATTTAAGGATAAGAACTGTGATTACTATGTTACTTTTGTATTGTCTCTCTATGCCTGACTTAAAAGGTGTTTAATAAATATTTGTCAAATTGAGTTGTTGTTGCTGTTGCTAAGTCGCTTCAGTCGTGTCCGACTCTGTGCGACCCCATAGACGTCAGCCCACCAGGCTCCCCCGTCCCTGGGATTCTCCAAGCAAGAACACTGGAGTGGTTGCCATTTCCTTCTCCAATGCATGAAAGTGAAAAGTGAAAGTGAAGTCGCTCAGTTGTGTCCAACTCTTCGAGACCCCATGGACTGCAGCCTACCAGGCTCCTCCGTCCATGGGATTTTCCAGGCAAGAGTACTGGAGTGGGGTGCCATCGCCTTCTCCGACCTAGTAATTATTTGGTTTATTTATGGTTGCATCATGTGGCATGTGGGATTTTTCGTTGCAGCTCATCAACTAGTTGTGGCACATGGGCTCAGTAGTTGCAGCATGAAAGCTTCCAGAATGCGCAGGCTTCAACAGTTGTGGCACACGGGCTTAGCTGCTCTGCACCATGTGGGATCTTAGTTCCTGGACCAGAGAATGAACCCCTGTATCCCGCATTTCAAGGTGAATTCTTTTTTTTTAAATTTTAATTGGAAGAAAATTGCTTTACAGTGTGCAAGGTGGGCTCTTACCCACGGGACCACAATGGAAGTCTCAGGAAGGGTCAACTTTTAATGGTCTTGGAGCATGACTTAAGGATGATCATAAAGTTGGTAGAGGGCTCCCCTGGAACAGGGTTTGTACTCTGCTCCTTCTGCCTGAGAGTTTCCAAAAAGACAGCAGCAATGCCAGCCCTTGGTATTTTGGCTTTACTGTCTTGAGACTTTCGGGTTTCCATTATTACCCCTTTTCTTCGATCCTTCCCTCCTTCCTCCTCATTTCCTGGATTTCAAAAAGTCTTAGTGCTTAGCTACCTGCCAGCTAAATCTAAGTGTCAAATCCATGCAAATGCTGAAGAACTTTCAAGTACTGCCCTGGAAAAATTAATGTAAACAGTGGGACAAGAAGGCTCTGGCTTTTTATCCCTGTTTGAGTTGCTTCTGAAGATACCCTACGCTTTCTTATGAGCATAATTGTTCCTGGTCAAGGGCCTAGAGAGCAGAGGACCTTGGTGCTTTCTTCCCCTGACCGTTTAACTGGGAAACTGGGATGCCTCAGCGTCTACATCACAACCCTCAGACTCTGACTGTTGCTCTGCTGAGTGTCTTTTCACCTCCCAGCTGCATTTCCCTGTCACGTTCACACCCTAAGTAGTAACAAACATGTATTGGGCATGTAGCATGCTACTTATGTATTTATTTTTGCCCGTGCTGTGAGCGGGCTTTCTCAGTTGGGATGTGTGGGCTTCTCATTGCGGCGGCTTCTCTCGTTGTGCAGCACAAGCACATGTGCTGGGGCTTCAGCAGTTACAGTGCGTGAGGTCAGTGTTTGCAGCTCCCGGGCTCCAGAGCACAGGCTCAGTACTTGGGGAGTATGGGCTTAATTGTTCAGAGGCACGTGAGGTCTTCCTGGACCCGGGATTGAACCCGTGTCTCCTGCTTTGGCAGGTGAATTCTTGACCATTGAGCCACCAGGGAAGCCCTAATTTCAAAGCATTTTGTCATTTAAACCTCAAAACCCTCTTATGAAGTAGATACTATCATTATTTCTTGGGAAATTGAGGTCATGTAGCTTGCCCTAGGTCACAAGTACCAGAGCTAGGATTCAAATCCAGTTATGGTAGGCAGATTTCTAAGATGGCCCCCAAATGATCCGACCTCCTGGTGGTATTTATGTCCTTGTGGAATTCCCTTTTCCTGAGTGTGACTGCTTCTGATGAAAAAAAATGAGATATCACTCTATGGTTAGATTAGAAAAGATTGTGACTTCCCTCTTGCTGTTAGACTTTATTGCCTTCTTGGTTTGCATGCTTCCAGGAAGCCAGCTGCCATTTTGGAGCGGTCCACATGACAAGGAGCTGAGATCAGCCAGTGCCAATAGGAGCTGAGGCTCTCTGTTCAAGTGCCCAGGAGAAACTGAGACCTGCCAGCAATCATATGGGTGAGCTTGGAAGTGAATCCTTTTGCAGTCCAGCTGGAACTTTGCTTGCAGTCTGTAAGAAACCTTGAACCAGAGGATCTGATTAAGCCATACCCAGATTTCTGACCCACAGAAACTGTGAGATAATATCGAAATTTTTTTTAATTGATAAAGATTTTTTAAATGTTATTGTTCAGTGTTACAGAGGACATATCAGCATATCACTCCCAGTTTGCTGATGGGAAATATGCCTGTGTAGACTTTTGAAGTTAACTTGGCGTATATATTGATAGCACTAAAATATATTTTTTTTAAATAAAAAAATTTTAATTGAAATATAGTTGATTTCCATTGTGTTAATGATTTGTACAGCAAAGTGAGTCAGTATACCTACATAAAACTTCTTTTTTAATATTCTTTTCCATTATGGTTTATCATAGGATATTGATATATAGTAATTATTGCAGTAATAATATTGTTCTCTGTGCTGTACAGTAACTGTGAGATAATAAATGCAGTTTTAAGCTACCAAGTTTTGGGGTAATTTGGTACATGACAATAGGTACTATACCAGGTGAATATGATTGGCTTCAAAGTTCATGCTCTTCATGATTTGATTAGGTTGTTTCCCACTACTCTATACTGTTTCCGAGTGCAGAGTGACTTTCCATCCTTTGTTGGATGGTCTCTGCATCCCCTAGGAGAATCTCTGGTTCCATAAGAGTTTTTTGTTTTGTTTTGTTTTGTTTTTTGGTCTCTATTCTTAGTTCCAGAACCCAGAGGTTCAACACCCTTCTAGTCCCTTGCTCTTGAGGTTAGGGCAGCTGGGCTAAAGAGCTAGATATTTCAATGTCCAGAAGTCCAGAGAAGGCCCGTCAGGCATCTTTGTTGACTAGGCTTGTGGAGTTGCTTTGCTCAAAATCTTTCTTTGTATATTGCTCTAAATTTAGACAAACCCCGGATAAATAAAATCTCCTTTTCTTCTCCAGGCTCCTACTTACAGCATTTGGAGTGTCACTCTTTCCAAATTCTATATTCTAATGAGAGGAATCATAAGCTAGCTAGGTTTGCTTTTGGAGGGCAAAGACCCTGTTAGATTAATATAGACCCTCCCTGGGTCTGACAGGCAGAATCCAGATGTGCTAACGGCTTGCAAACACAGAAACTTGAGCAGGGCTAATGAGGACTTGGAGCTTCCCAGGTGACTCATGGGTAGAGAATCTGCCTGCCAATACAGGCGATGAGGGTCCAGTCCCTGGATGGGGAAGATTCCCTGGAGGAGGAAATGGCAACCCACTCCAGTATTCTTACCTGGGAAATCCCATGGACAGAGGAGCCTGGTAAGCTACAGTCCATGGGGTCGCAGAAGAGTCGGACACGACTTAGCGACTAAACAACAAATTAGTTTCAGTGTGGTACTTTCTCGTTAATGTTACAGAGGGATAAACTCTTTAAGTTTCTGTCTTCTTCGGACAGAAATACTCAATGAAAAGTATCTGTTCCTGCGTAGAAGCCCCGCCCCCATGAAAGCGGCACAAAGCTGCAGTTCCCGCCTCACACAGGTGCCGGGGAAGCCCGCCCCTCGCGGCCGTCAGCCTCGTCAGAGGGCCGAGTTGCCTTCAGTCTTTCACCGAGGAAAGCGGAAAGGGGCCCCGCCTCCTACGTGCCCTTGGGGGGCGGGGCGGCGGACTGGGCGCGAGTTGATTGGCTGGGAGGCGGGGCGCCGCGGCTAGGCTCCATCCCGGCGCTCGCTCGGATCCCGGGTGGAGTGAGGGAGGGAGTCCCGACCGCCCTTACCTCCCAGCGATGGCGCCGTGGTGCCGCGCCCAGTCCCCCGCCTGCCGGCCGGTAGTCACCGCTACCGGGAGCCCTCTCAGCCGGTGAAGATTGGAGAGGGTCAGACGGAGCGGCGGGACGCTGCCTGCGACGGGGACCATGAGGAGCGGCGAGACCCGTGGGGTCGATAGCGGGAACTGCCGCGGCACCTGCTAAGAGGAAAGAGGGAGCGGCCCGGCGCGGCGGCGGGGCGGGGGCGCGGCGGAGGATCGCCGGCGGCTCGGCCATGTCGCTGCTCTGCGTGCGCGGTGAGTGCGCGGACTGGGGTGGAGGGACCAAGGTCGCTCAGGCATCTCCACGAGCTTCCAGTGGGCGTCGGGTTACCACCTTTTCCAAACTTCCCGCCCCGCCCGTGTCTCGGGGAACCTTTATGTCAACTCCTTTATGAACATCTTGAAGAGTTCTTTCCACTCTCTCTTGCTTTTCCTCGCTCTCCTGTGAGGAGGGGCTGTTACCTCTCCGTTCCGGAGGCCATGTGACAGTGTTGTTGGCTGGCAGGCCCAGATCCGATTAAATAATATCTAGAGCTGTCCTCTAGTGAGCGTGGACGAGGTAGGGACCGCGGATAGCGGGCGTCAGTTCAGAGCGGGCAGCCTCTGTTCTTTTCTTCCTTCTCGCCGCACCGTAAAACCTCAGTCGGCTTAGTAGCAGGTTCTTTCTAATCGTGCTTTGAAGGAGTACAGCTGTCACATCCCTCCTTCCAGGGTATTTATTGGCGTTCCACCCCCACTGTTGCTTGTCTTTGTCCCCTGTTCTCCTGTGTAGTCCAGGCTAACAGTAAGCTCATATTCGACTTGAAAAGGTGTGTCGGCTTCTCTTCTTTCAGAGCAGAGCATAAGAAGTATGATTTACTTATTTTTATTTACTTCCCTCACACTAACTAAAGGTGAAGTCCTTTATTGCTTTTCCACTGAGGACGCTTGACCCACCTGAGAAGATATTTTAACCCAAGAGCTTTGGGGTTTAAGATTGAGGCAAGGTGTGTCGACTAAGCTTCACGAGGGTAGAGACTGTTTCTTAATGGTTTTTGTGTTCTAGATGCCTGATATAGTAGAAGCTCAGGGCTGGTTTTGAATGAGTGCAGGGACTGTGATTTTAGAGATTATCAGATCAGAAAAAGCAGGGTTTGGATTACCCATTGAATTTGATCTTGGGAAATTCAAGCTACAGCCTATCATATCCGTGTTGAACAAGGTGGGATAAGGTGGCTCGGTTGTGAGTGAGGGAATTTATCTATGAGAACCTTTCCCCAGCACCTTTCATTGGGTAGAGTTCATGTTTCTTTTGGTTCTGTGGGTTAGAAGCATTGTTGGTTGTGATCTCTGTTAAGTGTTTCCCCCAGCTTCTGGCAAATGAAACTGCTTTCCTCTGTTCTCTCCCACTGTTTTGTTAAATCTGTATTAACCCAAAATGGATTTAGTTATTTCCAGGGATTATGAGACACACAGAAATTTTCTTCTTTCATGGTTGATTTTTCATTAATGAGAATTTTGCTTTGCTTTTAGTAAGACATTTTCTCCCAGCAGCTGGAGATCTATTTATTCCTTTAGATCCCTGCTGTTGAGTAGCAGGATTTGCGAGAGGTTGGGTTTTGCAGTGTCCCTTGGACAGGTTTAATTCTCTACTGCCACACTGCATCACAGAACTGTCCCTTATGAAAGATTCTTCAGCCAGGAGCACTATTAAACCAGAAATTCCTCTTTCATTGAATTGATGCTTCAGAGAAAGAGCTGGTACTTTCAATTTGTTCTAATATCAGGCAGCTTTCATTTTCAAGGAATTCTGTTTAGCTAACTATTCTCTTTCTCTCTTTCTCTCTACAATCAAAAAGAATCTGAAAAAAAAAGTACAATATATGTTAAAACTGAATCACTTTGCTGTATACTTGTAACTAACACAACACTGTGAATTAACCATACCTCAATTTAGAAAAAAAATTTCAAACAGTATTTAATCTGATGTTGAATTTGACAAACTGATATTGATTTAATCATTCCAAATATCTCAGTCAAGAAATCAGTTTCTTGGTGTAACCCTTTAATCACGCCTTATTCCCTGCAGGTTAAAGGCTCTCAGTAGTATGACTGCAGCGCTCCTTTTGGCCCTATGTTCTTGCCCGTCCTCTTGCAGATAACTTTGCTCTAGCACTAGCTTTGTTCATTCATACCATGGCAGTGTTCTGTGTTTTCTGCTTGTCGAAAGTGTATTCTTCCTTTCCCAGCTTATAGTCTATTTTTGTTGTTGAAAATGTCCTCAGTTCCTCAGTCCGCAGTGATCTTTCTCCTTTAACGCTTTAAATTCCTTAAAACATAAATTACTTATGATCTAAACATTGCCACTGATTTGGTGACGAATTGTATACCACCTAGCAACTAGTCTTGCTCTGTATTCATGGTGACCCTGACAAGGAGATAAGAGCACTGGTCAGATCAGTTCTGGAATTCTGGGTTCAATTAGGGTATTTGATTCTAAGAGGCAAACTGAGAAACTAGTTTCTTTCTTTCTTTTTTTTTTTGAGGAACTAGTTTCTTCAGAGCAGAATAATTAGAATTACGAAGGGTGTAGAAGCCATTTGAGGAATTGGGAGGTTTATTCTTGCAGAAGGATCATAATAGTAAATGAAAATTGTCTACACTGTTGCTCAGACAGAACTAGGACAAGTCAACCAGTGTTGAAAATGATAGGAAACATTTTAACTTTTAAGATAGGAAAGAACTTAAACAGAGTTGTTAACAAATGGAATGGACTACTTATGAGAATTTTTTGACATAGGATACTTAAGCAGAGACTGAATGAGTGATAAAAAGAATTTCAATGTTGAGTGGGATGTTAGACTTGAATTTTGAAAAAAAATTCTTGTATCTAATTCACTTAGTCTTTCTTCAAGTATCTGGCACAGCTTTCCTCACAATACTGGTATCTTTTGCTTCCATAGGAGCCTGTACCACCTAAGCAACTCCAGTAAATTAAGTCAAAGATTTTCTTTAACTTTTGATGTCTTGGTGTTCGTGACTGTTTTCTCCAAATAAATAAGCACTTTGAGAATTGAATCTTTCCATATTTCTTTGTAGTTGCTATAGTGTTTATAACTGAGCTCTGGATTTTTCTCCCTAATTTGAACTAGAAATGACTACACTTGACTTGTTAAAAAATCTAAAACAAAAAAGTTTTTGGGGTATAAGAAGCAATATATGCTAACATACTGTTAATCACAGAAAATGGAGAAAATGCAGAAAAGTGTAAAAAGGAAAATAAAAATCATCATGGTCCTATCACTTGCTCAGCATCGTTATTTTTTTTGTTCATTGCTTTCATTGTTTTGTTTTTATTATAGAGGTGATATATATGTATGATAAGAAATTCAGTTTAGGATGTGACGTGAAAGGACAAAGTTCTCTGTCTTCATTCCCTATTCTTACTCCCCAGAGGTAACTACTATTTCCTCTTTCTTGTCCATCTTGTAAATTTTCTTTACATTTAAGTATATAGATTCTACAATTGGAAGTATATTTAACTTTTTTGAAAGCTTAATGATTTATTTTCCTATCAGCTTTCGTGAGTTTAAATTGTTCCTTTTAATGGCTATGGAGTACTGTTTCATTTTATGAGCATATGTAATTTAACCAGTTTCATATTGATGAACAATCAAAATTTTTTTTGCTATTATAAATTTTGCCTTTATAAACAATATAATTTATAATATTGCTGTTGTAAACAATGCCACAATGAACATCGCTATAGATAGTTTTATTATATTTGGAGATCGCCAGTCAGCTTTCCATCTGTCATTTCTGTGTGATTTGCTCATTGCTGTTTTTTTGGCATAATAATTACACTCACCTGGACCCATTAGCAAACCAAGTACCTTAGGATCTCTCATATCAGCAATCCTCTATTAGAAGCAGATCCTTTACCAGTGGGTAAAACTTTATGTTTACCAAAATCCTGAAGATCTCAACTCTTTTAAGTTTGACCTGTGATTTTCACATACTTGTTTATCTTCTTTGATTATTTAAAAATTTATTTTCTATGTGTTAGTTGCTCAGTTGTGTCTTAACTCTTTGTGACCCTATGGACTGAAGCCCACCAGGCTCCTTTGTCCATGGAATTCCCCAGGCAAGAATACTGGAGTGGGTTGTCTGTCATTCCTTTCTCCAGGGGATCTTCCCAACGCAGGGATTGAACCTGGGTCTCCTGCACTGCTGGCAAATTCTTTACTGCCTGAGCTACCAGGGAAGCTGAATATTTATTACTTGTGTTTTAAGACAGAACAAACCAATATCACTAGTGATGAGAACTATATCAAGTCAATGTATGTTGTGACTTGCCCTTAGAAAAACGTATCATATTTTATAAGCACATATCAGTCATCTAACTAACTGAATAGATACTACTGGGAAACTCTTAGAAGGTAGACTCTGATGGAAACTCAGGATACCTGTTGCTTGTGGGTTAATTCTAGCCTGGGAAAACTCCAGAGATATATTTTGATTTATTATCACTCTGAAAAGTAGGAATAGTAATGATTTTAGAGTTTTCAGGTATAAGAACAGGTTGGTCAAGGTTCTCATCTTATTTCTGCAACATTGCCATCTGCCTCAGCTAACTCCTTGCTGCTGGGTTTTCATCACATCAAATAGTTTAAGTAGTTTCTGCCCTCAGGAACAGAGTTGCTGCTGGGTTCCTTTTGCTTAGCTGTGGCATCAGGAAGTTGATTATGCCTTATTTGAGCCAGGCAGCAGGGAAGGGGAAAAGGACCAATTTCCTCTGCCAAAGAGAGTTGTCACAATTGTGTTCTTCCTTATAAGCAGTACATTCTGTAATTTTTTAGTTTTTAGAGGTTAGGTTTCTAGAAGTTGCACTCTTTAGGCCAGCAGGCTGAGTGTTGATCCTCTTTTACCATTGCAAGGTATTTCAGACTTTGCTATGTGAGTTTGTTTAAAGTTTGGGATGTGTATCATTGGTAAATATTTGTAGAGTACCTTCCCTATGCCTGTTTATGATACATATCTGTAGATAAGAGTCTAAGCAATTTACATAGGTCTTAACATGTTAATATCTCCTTTCTTAGATAAACTCAGAATCCATTAGGATTATTAAGTCTGAGTTGGCATAAGTAGAATAAGTTAAGTTCCTGCTGGAGTGGGGAAATACTGCACTATTTTTCTAACTTTTAAATAAAGCGCTATTTTTTAAGTTGGGGCATTCTATACATACATTATAGTGGATTGTCTTTAATAAAGTTCAG